ATGCTAAAAGTCGCCAAATCCGTATCTCGATCTGCGAAGTTGCAGATTTCTTTTAACCTAACGAAAAGTTTATGAGGTGGAACTCTTCATTTAAGCGAAAATATTGAAAGTTGGATCACGCAAATAAAACGACGTTATCTATCCTACGAACTGCAAATCCAATGGTTCGATCGATATGGAACACCGACCGTTTGTAGTGGCGTGGCGTGCTTTGCGATATATCGATACATCTGTCATTCAAAACTATGGGAAAGGATCGATAAACAGGGTGTTCGCAGCAAACACCTTAAATCGATTCTTTACCATAGCTTCAAATGGAGAAATATCGATAATCGATCATTCACGCCACGCCATTGAAGGTTTGTCTCATAATATCGAAATTATTCTTTCAGAGTAGTCTTTCAAAAACTGCAGTCATCTAAAAATGCTCCGAGTTGAGTGGAATTTCACATGGTTATATCCACAATGCGAACAAAAAGCACGGTTCACGGATAAAAATGGCATTGATGATTTAACAATTTCGTAGTTTAAAAAAGTGTCCGACATGTTTCAATGTAGATTATACAGTAAAAAAATGCTACTTTAACCACAATGTAACGAAATGTGCTTAATTGACGTGATGCACATTTAAAACATATTTTTATGTTATACATATATTTAAAATTAATCATTTTATATTTTTTTTACAATTTAATCCTTAAATCAGCAATCCATTGTTTTACCCGAAACCCACCCCATGCTGAGGCGGTAGTATGCGAAACGGGTGGAAATCAAAACCCGCGGGCCTTGGTATGCCGGATCTAATGGAATATGGTGGTTAATCCCTCATATCTTTGAGAAGATTCGCCATTTTTTTCTCTCGGTTACGTGCTAAAAAAAATCCATTTTTTTCCGTGTTCGTAAAAAATATCTTGGGCTGCACGACGGACAAAAGAATGGACAGAAACATTGGATCCAGGCGTCCTCTCGGATTAAGAATGAAGGGGGGAGGAAAGTTCCGCCGGGGGGAGGGGGAGGGGGTGAAAGAAAACGGAGCTCATGGAAATAATGGAGAAAAGTTGGCGGTTTGACGGTAATTACAAGGCAATAGAACTGAGACGTCAGCACTTGTGACGTATGTTAACTCTCACGATTACGATGCAACATTTTATCAGATATTCCCTCTCTGTTTATCAGATATTCTCTCTCTGTTTGGCGTTCCGTTTCGCGTGCGCCCCTGATATTACGCCCGGCAGCGACCGTTACCGGCTAATTATGATTAGCCGCGCTCAGTTTCATAACCAAACACGACTCCTCGCCACCCGCGGCAATGGCGTTTCCCTCGATTCTCCCCGTTTTCTCCCGGGAGCCAATGGGGCTATTAGGCCTAACAAGATTTTTCCTCCCGCCTCTATTCAAACATCAACAATGCTCCCGGTGAAATGCTGAAAACTCCCTGTAATTTCCAAACATGGGTAGAGACCATAGAGAAAAAAAGGAGGTGTTCGCATTTCGGGCATCTTGGATTTTTTTTGATGACGTAGGTCGGTGCGGACGATTTTTCGATTTTCTTGGAAATGGTGTATTTTATGGAGAAAAGTTATTCTACACAAAGTGTTTGAAATTAAAACAGTGGTGACATCATCGCTCTGTCTAGACGAATTTTTTCCTCGGACCTGGTGCTAAACGCAATAGTGTATTCTCGGTAACATTCGATCTTAGTACAATAATATACCATGATCAATCAATATGAATGCGCGGACCCGACCTACTGCGACGAATAAAGATAGGTATGCACACAAATTAAAATCAATTGCTTAAATTTTCAGTCGTTAATAAGGATGAATGGACATTTTGGTCTGAAATTGAGGTTTATACGAATTGTGGAAGTACTACAATCAATAAACTTGAGTCAGAATTTCAGAGAGACGAAGGGAGGGAGAGAGAGAGAGAAAAAACGCATGTTTACCTCGTAGAGGTGGAGTTTTAATTTTAAACAACGGGATAAACCAAAAATTTTAAAGTTTTTCAGTCATATTATGAACTTATAATATCTTAGTGTGCCACACCTCATCGGACAGTTTATAAAAAATGTTTAAGAATGTAGAGAGAAAAAACACGCAACGGGAAACTTAGCTATCCAAAAAGTTTTAGCTTACCCTCTATTCCGAAAAATATATTTTTATTACATTAAGAAACAAGGGAGTGTAGGGGGAATGGAGGGTGGTCTCCGAGGGTGGCTTATGTGTGTAGCCGATTTTTTTTCTTTTAAGAAGTATTCAATTATTAAAATTGCCCAGTTTAGAATTCCATCTCATATTTTATCGCATACAAAAGCGGGCATTTCACGTAATGCCTCACGGAAAAGATAAATTATTATCATACGCATTTAAAACACAGGTTGAATGGAATAAATTATTTTCAGTGAGTGTGAAATTAGTTGGTTACCGTGCAAAGTCACAACCAGACCTCTCCTTGCATATAAAAAATGGGATGCGCGTGACTTCCTTTTACACTTTTTATCAAATGTTTTGTCGAGTCCTTTTTTTTTAAGCGTGCCAGTAGGGCTCGCTTTTTGAAATCACTCGGATGTACCATAGTACAGCACGCCGATCAACCAATGCTATTCAACGGTCGGTCCAAATTTTTTTTCCTCAGATCCGTTTCTTTGAGTTTGAACCGTTATACTGTCAAGCCCTGGTCAAAAAATCGGAAAAAAATTCAGTGATACTTGAACGACCCTTCATGAGTAGCGAAGAACTAAGGCTGAAAGGGTGTTCACGAAAAAAATAAAATTGCTGATTTAACAATTTTGTAGTTAAAAAAAGTGTCCAACATGTTTCAGTGTAGATTTTACAATTTAAAAATGCTAATTTAACCATCCCCGAAGTTACATTAGCTCCCCACTATTGTAAAATATACATTTGAAACACCTCGGACTTATTTTTAACAATTTAATTGTTGAATCAACGATACATTTTTTTCCCGTGTTGGATAAAATTTACGCACATGGGTTCAAGCTGTACTCGAATATTTCAAGAGGCCCGCGTAGACTTGAACTGATGATAGGTATGGTTAATCTGGGAGGCGGTGAAACATAGATGCAGGACGTGAAGGCGTGGAAATTCCCGGAGAAAAACCTCAGCGGGAGCATGTCAAGTCTGGATCTACGTGAATTCAGGGAAATAGACGGGACATTTGTTCCGTGCGACGAATCACTGAATTGGGCTGGAAGATTTGTGTGCATCCATGGCGCGACGCGGCGTAAGGGGCATATTTAATTAAAATGTTTCAGCGATTCCGATAATCACGCGTCGCGCCGCGCCGGCTCCGGATTACGAGGAGAGCGCCAACACATCAACACATCTACTTAACACATCAACACATCTACTTAAGAAGAAAACTGATGACGAGGGCGACGCCCGAGTGTTGATCGCACAAATTATGCCGTAGACGGAAATAATTATCATATCCGCGCGCATTCAGCTCATGTTAATATCGTTTTAAACACTCGTTAAAGAGCTCCTTCATCAAAGGACGTGTCTGTTATCCTTTCATTACTAAACATAATATTCGCGCAAGACTTAACACCCCTCGCCCGCCCAAACCCTCACCTACATTTCACCGCCTCCCCCTCTCCCCCTCGCCCGCCCCCGGCACCGCTTTCTCGCTCAGAGTCGTATTGATTGTCAACAGTGGCTGCCTCAAGTGCATGCTTGTAAGTCACGACACATATTTCATATTAGGATCGTGTCTGATCAAATTTTATCCGAATGTTTTCAATGCTCCAGATATTTAAATCTGTCCCAGTGATTGATTTCCGCCACCGAGTCCGTGTTGGGGCTTTCGATCGATCGGGGACCCTCCCACCTTCCCTCCACTCCACGTCCCCCTCTCCCACCGTCCTGTAGTTTACATCGTTGGTCGGGGACGAAATAATCAAGGAATTGGAACGGTATCAAAACAATGATACCAAGAAGAAACTTCTTCTTACGTTTTATGTTTTATTGCATGTGTTAAGGTGAGATGATTTGGCCTCGTTAAAAATCTTGGATCGGAATCCGTGGCGAATTTCACTCCGGAATCTTTTTTACACAACCGGAAAGGAAGAGGTGGCTTAGGGCAACTGAGATGGGCTTTTGGCAGAGGTCTGCTGGAATCTCGAGAAGAGAGCGTATTCGCAATGAAAAGGTGCGCGAGATAATGGATGTGGAGAATGACATCGTGCACGATATTCTCCGATATATCTTCATCGAGTTATGGGTCAATTTGAATAGAGATTTCTCAAAGTACAACATGCACTGAAAAATGGTTACACTCGTTTTTATACTTTAATTTTTTTTATTTTATTACTATTTTTTGGTCAAAGAAATCAAGAAAAAGAGAATATCATTCAATAGGCATGTTCATGTACTAGACATTTCGATTAGAACAATACAAACTATTAGACTATTCCACAAACTGATTGCGGTGGCCGCACGGGTCGTAATACGGTATGTTGGAGTTTTTTAGCCACCGTGCGTTAAAGTCAGCATAAGGCTGATATCTAACGACGGATAAAAAAAAACTCACACACAACACACAAGCACAATTTTCCTATCATCATCTAAGCAAATTAGTAATAAGATACGCACATTACAATTTTTGTAAATATGTACTTACTGAATAAAATTTCGCTTGACAAAAAAAAAAAAAAAAAAAAAAAAAAANCCTGCTCAAAGAGATACGCTGTTTGGTGCAACACCAGTAACAACCATTCAGGAAGGCAACTGCAGCAGACGCGTTACTAGTGTTGCACCAAACAGCGTGTCCCTTCGAGGGAAAATTGTGCTTGTGTGTAAGCTTTTTTCCTCTGTTGTGAGATATCAGCCTTATGCTGAATTTGACGCACATTGCCTAAAAAACTCCGACATACCGTATTAGACGATTGGATGGAGCAAAAGCTCATGAAGAGTTTATTTTAATAAAAAATAAATATTCATAACTTTAATTTTGCTGTGTTATCATTCGGTTTGTTGCAGTGACGGACTCAGTAGAAAATCCGGAAAAACACTGGAGCAGCAAATTGGGACTCTCCGAAACTTGACGATTCTGTTAAGCGCCGCGTTCAGCAGTCATTTCATTTACCCTGTCCTTGGCCACGAGGATCCTGAGTCGTATACAATTCTAGCCAACCTCTGGAAACTTTGGCTTCCCACCGAGGCCCTCTTAACTTTTACTAAAGGTAACTATTCATCCGTCACACATAAGTTTTTTATCTACAATCTTCTTGGCAATGGGTCAGTTGCGCTGGTCACAGAATCGTTTTCCCAAGTAAAAATTGGCGATAGGAGCTGCGTTTCAAAATACTATAGGAGTTCTTATTGCCGACTGAAAAAGGCAATAGAAAATCATATAGATGGCTGTAGAAAGTGGAAAAAATCATACGGCCGGGCTACACGAAGCGATACAAAATTGAACAGCCGGGCTATAGTTTCTGTCGCCGGGGTTTACACTTTATCGCTTGGCTGTTGCTTTTTCGCCATCGGCTATGAAAGGCTATAAGAAATTGTGTAGAAATTCGTGTGATTTGTAAATCTTTAACACGGAAAGAAATTACATGTTGATTTAGCATTTATACTGTTAAAAAGATGTCCGACAAGTTTCAAATGCTGATTTTACATTTTAACAAATGCTAACGTAACTACGCCCTTTGCAAAACGTACAAATTAAAATGTTATGTTTGCATTTCTGTATTGTAAAATCAGCATTTGAAACCTGTCGGACATCTTTTTAACAGTATAAATGCTAAATCAACATTTAATTTTTTTCCGTGAAGTTTGTACGGAATCACCATAATATTTACAAAACGCACATTATACAGGGTGATCCAAAAGTCCCTTCCACCCCCTCTAACTTTTTACCTAATTAAGATAAACATTTGAAACTTGGGGGACATTCCTAGGTCAAAGGGAGCTACTTTTTGGCCCCCCTAAAATTTTCAGGGGGGCCCCCCTTGGGGGGGCAACGGCCCCCAACTTTAAATTTTTAAATGGGAAGACCCCCTTTGTGATAGCTCGTTCGAAAGAACATAAAAAAAGAAAACTTTTCGCGCAAACCCGAAGTCAATATCTCAAACCGTTTCAAAATGGCGGCCGGTTAAAGTTCAAAATGGCCGAAATTTCACACCGGTTATTTGTCGATGGATTTGCGCGAAAATCGGTATGTAGGGGTATTTTGACACGAGAAAAACGAATTTGACGTTAGATTTTCAAAAAAACTAAAATTTCCAAAATGGCCGCCGGTTAAAGTTTAAGATGGCCGAAAATTTTCACCTTGGTTTTTTCCTGATGGATTTGCCTAAAACTTGTAATTTGAGAGTATTTTGGCATAAGATAAACAAACTTGAACTTAGATTTATAAAAAAATAAATTTTTGGTCATTTTGAACTTTAACCGGCGGCCATTTTGGAAATTTCGGTTTTTTGAAAATCTAACGTCAAATTCGTTTTTCTCGTGTCAAAATACCCCAACATACCGATTTTCGCGCAGATCCATGTGCAAATAGCAGAGGTGCCAATTTTCGGCCATTTTGAACTTTAACCGGCCGCCATTTTGAAACGGTTTGAGATATTGACTTCGGGTTTGCGCGAAAAGTTTTCTTTTTTAATGCTCTTTCGAACGAGCTATCACAAAGGGGGTCTTCCCATTTGAAAATTTAAAGTTGGGGGCCGTTGCCCCCCCCAAGGGGGGCCCCCCTGAAAATTTTAGGGGGGCCGAAAAGTAGCTCCCTTTGACCTAGGAATATCCCCCAAGTTTCAAATCTTTATCTCAATTAGGTAAAAAGTTAGAGGGGGTGGAAGGGACTTTTGGATCACCCTGTATATTCCTTTACTACATATTTGTTTTCATCAATTAAAATGAGAATAATCCATACTGAGTATTACAGAGTGTGCAAACATTTCAAAGTCATGAGTTGAACAACGCTGACTCCACGAGATTAAATATTAGAGCCTAACACAAAGCGGAGCGACGCGGCGGCGCACTGCCGCCTACAAACCTAACAGGGATACTTCACGCATTGCGCAATGCGTGAAGTATCCCTGTTAGGTTTGTAGGCGCCAATGCGCGTTTCGCGCTGGCTGCCCGCCCGCCGCGCCGCAGCGTACCACGGCGCTTGAAGCAACTATTTCACACCAGAGGTATTGCACAGTATCATACGAAATTGAATGCGCTCCAACATATTAGGAATGGCAGGTATTCTTCAAAAGTACGGAGCTTTCCTCGCAAATAAATCAAGATACTACGGCCCAAAAAGAGAGTGATAGTCCAAAAACTCACTAAGTCCTAGCATCCGTAATTAGTAACGTTTAGCATACACTTTATCGTCAGGCTGTTGCCTAATCGCCATCGGCTATAAAAGGCTATAAGAAATTGTGTTGCCTGCTATAGAAGCTATTGGAAATCTCACAGTCGGCTGTAGGTCTATGGTATTTTGGAACACAGATTCTACTGCCAATTTTTACCAGGGGTTTTGATGCTTGATCTTTGTGGATTAGCTAAAAATAAAAAGATCCGTCCAAACAGCAACTTTCTACGTTCAGTGTTAACCAAGATATCGCGCTTTGAAAAGTCGGTTTTTTGACGTCATCCACCGCGGTGGTGACACCCTTGGTGTCTTCCTCTTGTGTTCATTCAGTGTTGCAGAGGGCACAACGCGAAATTCAAGGACATCAAACATAAGTAAACCGCCCAATCTCTTCGCGTCAAGTGCATCATCTCCTGATAAAAAATCCTTGAAGTGCGAATCCGCCAGTTTTTTGAGCTTGTAATGTCCTTGAATTTCGCGTTGTGCCCTCTACATCACCGATCAAACAGAAGAAGAAACCAAGGGTGTCACCACCGCGGTGGATGACGTCAAAACCCGACTTTTCAAAGCGCGATATCCGGTATACCATGGTGATTCTGATCTCAGTTAATAGAAGTGCATCTTCATTAGCGTTTATTTGTTGATTTCATTTCAATTAGGGGGCCGCTTTTCCTGACCACTTCGCGCCTCAGGCGGTATGCTTTACGTGGTATACTCTTATGAATCTATATTCAAGAGAATGATACAGTCTTAGAGAATAATATAATTCAGGAGATGATGCACTAATTTAATTAAGGGAAGATTGAAGACACATTTTGGAGAATGTTTGAGAAGAGAGACGGTCAAAAAAAGTGAAAGGAATCGGTAGAGATGAGAAACTAAGAAAAATAAAAGTTAAAGAAACAGTAAAAGGATCGTCCGTTTGATTTGATGAAACTCAGGCGGAAGTTTCTGTTTTGAGAACTTGAGTCACCGAGCCTTCATCATTCGTGTCAGATGAGACCGAAAAAAGGAGGAAATCCAGAAAGAAAGAAAGGAAGACGGAAGTGCGGCCCCGTTTTTACGTTCCGATGTCATCTTGCAACAAAGGGAGTGCGTCCCTGGTACCGTGCCGTGCGGTTAGTGTCAGGAGGCGGTGAAGGGGATATCCGTCTAAAGGGAGGGCGCGAGGGGGGGGGCGGGGGGTTGTAGTTAGCGCAACGCTCAGTATGCACCACATGAATTAAACATAACAACACGACGCGACGCGGCTACTATCTCTTTATTTATTTCGCAGGCTCCCAAGAAAAAGATGGCATCGTTTCATCTGGGCCAAGTTACTGCGCTCGCCGACCGCGGCGCCTCATAACGCTGAATATTTCATTTCTACTAATTTAGATTAAAATGAATTATCGAGAAAGAATTTCAAAGCACGCGAAAACTCGACTGCGCCTCTGACCCGAGTCCCAACAGTTGTTTCTCGCGGCATCCCGCCGGGAGCCGACTCGAACGCTCCGTTTTATTTTTTCAGGGCTCCCTATCTATCCATCTATTTTCCTTCAGGAACTTCTCTTATTTCGACTCTCAAAGTCACGCGTGCAGAACCGCTAAACCCTAGAGTAAAAAAGTGGAGCGCGCTATTATTTTGCTCAGGCTCCGAGGCACCGCTCTCCCTGGGATAATTGTGAACTTGGGGGTTTCATGTCCAGACATAGAAAATTCCAGATAGCTTTCCGAGTAAAATACAATTTATATTCTGTAGAAATCTCATTTATAGGCAAATAAAGAGCGTGAACACTGAAAAAAAGGAACTTGGCTGGGCTGAATTTTCTTTTTCTTTTTGCGTGCTCAAGAGTGTAGATCTCTCGCTCGCCGTCACATATTTGAAATACCCAAGGCGATTCACTTCTAAGCGTTATTAATAATAAAACTTGAATATTTAGCCACTTATGTGACCAGCATGTGCTATCAAGAACCCCTATTGACTTTAAAATGTACCGATATCTTTTGCTCCATTCTATCTGCACATTCTATTTTTCCCGACAGATCTTGAGCAGATTCTATTTTGAATCACTGAGTATTCGAATTTGTATAAATCTACTTTAAAAATGTACGCAGTTTACGCCATGTTTCAGGAAATACTTCCTAGTTCAGGTTCTTATGTACTCCCGTGGAACGGTAAGTGAAGCAAGTGTGGAAAATATCTTAATCTCTTCATTTCGATGCGTAAAAAAAGAATTTCGATGTTGTCAAGCTCAATTTTGCGTCCAACCCCCCAAAATCAAGATGGCGGCCAAAATGGGGGCTCGGGGGGTGAAAATTATGGAATTTGATTTTGATGTCATGATTGGGGTCAATTCTTATGTAATTTTGGTCGTAGAATCCGAATTTGAGGTCCAAAATACTCTCCGACCCAAAGGGATGCCCCAAATCCAAGATGGCCGCCAAAATCTCCAAGATAGGGTCAAAACTGCGATACGTATGTAAAAGTGCCAAGTAGGGTGTCCTTGGTAGGGTTCTTTGGGTCG